TGCTTCCCGCCTTTTGCACATATAAAAAATTGCTAACAAATTTATTGGACTTGAAGGATTAAATTGAACAAATTAAACATGCTTCCCAAGTTATGCATTCTACAATGGATGGAAATTATCCATCCGAAAAATAAAAAAAAACGTAAACCGTGTATTGGTTCCTATTCAATCTTATTACTTGTAAGTACTCAATTCCCTTTGCAAGTGTCCTTTGCATGGAGCACCAACTATTTACGACCGGCAGCGGCACTAGATCGAGGAACGCGATCGGAATAATCACGCGGAGGCACGCCCACGGCTGATCGGCCCGTGAAGGCTTTGGTGCTGGTGGTGCTGGCGGTGGTGGTGCTGCTTCCGGGAGTGTAGCCACTACAGTTCCCAGTACACGGAGTCGAACCCTTTGCTAGGGTCTGGAGAACGATCAGACTAGGCTCCTCACTATTAGCCCGCCCTCCTCGGTGGCCGGTAATTAGAACCCGGCATGCCTCGCTCGGTCGCATCGATGCTCCCATCAAAAACAGCAAAATCATCGTAACGACTGCTACTTTTGAAGTCGCGATCTTCTCCATCCTCGGCCGATTTCCAAGAATATCTCTAGCTTATCCTGCCCTGGTTGTTGCAAGCTGTGAGCCTCTTTGTGGGTACGATGAAGAGAATGCGTCTGAGGATGTCTCGTACTTATACTGAGCCATTGTCGAACTGCCGGCAATTGCTTCGATTCTTCTTCTCTCGATCGCAATCGTTGAACGGGGCCTGGGGGGTTTTTGAATTCTTGACTGGCACAGTAATGGGACAACCAGACCGGCATTTGACTTCACCGGTTACAGTTTGAATGATACCGCTTTCGGAAGTTTACATCTTGACCCGGGCGACGGCGAACAGGGAAAGAGCATTCGTGTGCTGCGATGCCGCTGTTGCTCGTTTTCACGTGTTGCGAAGCTCCTGTTTCTCTTTCAGCAATGCAGAAGTCATGTGTCGTGATATCAAGAGAAAACGATTGCTAGACTTTCTCAAAGATGGGCATATAGCTACGGTCTGGAATACCAATTCTAAGTCTAGTCTCTCGTTCAACCAAAGGTAGCTAAGTACCGAGGAACGAAGTCGCAAGCCGACCACATCGAAGCTTTTTCCAAAACACATGGTCTTACTATTATACCTCAGAAAAGGGACACACTTGCAGAAATTGTGGAATCCCAATTCGAGTTCGAAAGTCTCGTTCGAACGAACGTGCCAATTACGCACGACAGAAACGATCGGGGACGATTATCCAATCAATTCTAAACCCATTATACGGATGCCGATTTAGCCATGCACTTTTCGATTGTGCCAATTTAATCCCAAACTTTTGCGTGAAACTCCGATGCAGTCATTCCAATCAAAACCATGTTGAATTTCGCGCAAAAGTTTAGGACTAAATTGACAAGATCGAAAAATTTTGGACTGGACTGGCATCCGTACAATGGATTCAGGACAGAGTTGATGATTTCCCCTAAACAAACGGCCTTTTAAATAATCACAACATACAGGAGCATGTCTAATATTCAGCCTAAAAGGAACCGGAACGACAAGGTCCAGACCAGAAGGGATTCCTAAAACTTGTTGGCAATGTTGCACGTGGTGGGAACAGAAGAGTTCGTGTATCGACCCGGCATGCGGTGCTGCGCACAGACAACATGCGCTGCTGCGGTCTTGTCCTGCGCAGTATGAAAGCCTTTTCGGGTTTAATGGTCGGCGTTGACTCTTTTGCTTCGCCGATATGTATGTTGGGCACTTCTGACTTTCTCTCTTTCCTTTTCTGCGATCACTCGTCACCAGGATTTGTGAGTTTCAAAAGTTCAATTGCGACTTTGCGAGTCAATTCAAACTCAAAGCGCTCGATCCGTCCACAAAAGTTCACTAAACAAACAGACAAAAAAAAAGGGTCAACAGCTGTTTTGTTTCTGGTCAACACGGGGGGTATTTCAACGGTATGAATATTGTTCGAGCAGCAAAAATTATCGGTGTGCAAAATGGACTGCCCAAATCGAGAATTGCCCGGCCGGTTCCCAGGAGTGCCGGTCCGGTTCCCGGTTCTTAAAAGTGGAACCTGTGTCCGAGTGGTTCGGTTCTTGATTTCAAGGGGAAACTGGATCGATTACATATAATTTTTTATAAAATTTTTTATTTCTTCAAAAAAATTAGTAAAATGTGAACTAAATCCTAAGTGATCAGTTCCTGGTCCTAGCCTTGGGAACTGGTCCTCCCGGTCCGATTTTCGGTTCCACCCTGGAATCAGACCAGATCGGGAACCGATTATCCCTAGCAAAAATATTAATTTGTAAACCGTCTAAAAGGGTCAGTACAATTCATGAAAGTATTGGTAAGTTATCAATAGGTTATTGAAAAAAATGGAATGACCAATCCTCCTAGCACAGGCTTTTGTTTGGTAGAAAACGACGGTTTTCACTTCTTTTTTTTTTTGATCTCACTCATCTCTTCGATTTACATGTGTGTGTATGCGGTACTCAAGGGGATTAAACCCCGGGACCCGGTGCTCTCCGGCCCTACCCCCAAATCCTTTTACAAGCAGAGTCGCATGCCTATTGGCAACGTGTGCCACAATCACCTCCGTGACCCTAATTCTTAAACCAACAAAGAATCAACAACCGCTGTCCAGGAGACGCGCTCGTGTTTATGACTACGAATATACAATCCTTGCATTTGACCGATTCATCCTTTCGAAATTTTCTATTTCTCTCGAGCACAAAAAAGTCAGCGTTCAAAACACGTCTTAAGAGAATTAGAAGTCAGACAAAGGCCTGTATAATGCCTACAAATACCAGCACGTAGACAGGCATCCTAATCAAACTCCTACGTCCTCAACAACAACATCAATCGACCCACCAAGAAACGATGAAGTTCCAAAGAGCAATTCTAGTGGCCATCCTGGTGCTTGTGCTGCTAAGATTTGAACCCAACGAAGCGTGCAGATCGCTCCACCAAAGAGACGAATACCAACATCAGAAGCCTCGTCACCTTTTCAACATACTGCAAAAGGGCAGCGTCCGTCCTCCCGGGAATGGGTGCGGCTACACTCCGAGCAAAGGCGGGGCGCCTTGCATAAAGACCAAGAACTTCGCGGGCCATGCCACGGTGACCCCTCCGGTCGGTCATGCCAGTGACAAAGAGATGGTTCGAACCGGCGTGGCCGCGGATCGGAAGTGAACGAGTGTTGATCCACGAGGACTTCAAGTTGCATCACTTGACGATTTTTTCATCGGAAATCTTCCCTTGTTCTTTTCTCTCCATCTCTCTGCTTCTCCTTTGTTTAAGGGATGAAATTTCAAATCCGAAAAAAGATGAACCCCATATAGAAATATTTCGCAGCCATCATATGTTAAAAAGTATATAGTGACTTCATACAACTTTCAGTCGTGCTTCATCATCTGCTGTCCTCTTCTCCCTCCCAACCCAAGAAAATGCTTTTCGGTTCACGATCACGAACCACGATCACTCAGCGGTCGTGTATACACCTTGTACTTGATCAGTATAATGTAAAATCATCCCATCTTGACAGCCTCGTTGTCAATAATTTATCGCGTTAGAGCTGATTTTTGTATTCTTTATGACCCGATTATCAAAGGAAAGATTTCGCTGTGGCCGGGTAGCATGAGCGCTGCAGTTCGGACGTGTTGCTGCCATTCGCGCTCTTTTCATCCCCCGATGTTCATCCTACGTGCCAACGAAGTTCTTTAAGTAGCCCTGATTAGTATTCTCTCCCTCTCTAGAGAACCAGTTGGCTCTCTGTACTCGTAGACTAGGGAGCCGGATCTTGCGGTGTCGGTGAGGGCGAAGAGGAACCCGGCTTTGCGGTGCTGGTGGTGCGATGTTGGTCGGCAATTGTCCGAGCAACAGTGTTAACGTTGCTGCAGAAAAAAGACGAAGGATTTTTATCTATGTTAGTAGATTTCTGAAAGAGTTAGTAATCATGAAAAGAATTGTTGGTAAAAATAATTGTCTGTGGCAAGATTTTTCGGTAACTTGTAATTGTTAGTAACTTAACGACGCTTTTACGAAAGTACCAACCCTTTTTAACGGTTTCCAAATTTAAAATTTTTTTTTTTTTTTAGTTCTACCAATTTTTATTTGCATTTATTTGCCAACGCCCTCAAATTTACAAACTCTCACGTGAATTTGCTAATATTTATTTGAGTGACTTTACCAACATTTTATTCCGATTAAATACAAAATAGTTTGGAGTTACCAACTCTCGTTTTAGTAACTTACAAAAGTTTATTTTTTTTTGTCAATTTATCAACTTTTATTTATATTACACCGGCTTTTCTCCCATTAGATTGTCAAGTGATTTTAATTTACCAGCTTTTATTTGAGTTGCTAATAAGAGATTTTTGTTTTCTCTTCGTTCAATATTTATCAACGCTCCTTTTGGTTGACCCGAAACACAATAAACCTTTCACAATATTCGAATACTAACACGCAGAATCACACATATAGAATTTTTCATAATTTAAGATAATTCAAAATCTTCCTTTTTCTTTAATTTCGAAAAGGAAAGTAATGATTAGTTAAAAAAAAAAGAAGTTTGTTAGCACTTCCAAACTGGCTAGACTTACAGCAGAAGAGCTCATTTAATATTATATTTAGGGCTCGATTTCATAAAGGTCGATTAAACAAGCGTGTTAATCTCACTTCAAATCCTTCGAGTGCTTCACTTTCCTTATTTAGACTCTAGTTCAATGATTGGCCAATAGATATATATGATTCCTAATCAAATTAGGAAATAGGCAATTTTACACGAAACTTGGGACAACGTCCACTTCTAGTTGCCCTATGTATAATCGTACTAGGATTCAAAAAACAACACAATACTATTTAGTGTCTTTCCATTCCTTCTATCATTCAGGCAAATATTAGTGTCGTTCCTCCACTTTTGCCTCGTGCGATTGAAGACCGAAAATTAAAGAAACACAAATCTTCTCACGACGACTCTGCCGAGAGCTATGGAGATCGAATCCTTTGATGTTCTTCCTCGCGATATGGTGGTGGAAATTCTCGCTTCGGTCGCCGCCAACTCCATGGACGACTTCTTCAATGCGAAAATAAGGTATCGTCTAATTTTCACCGTCGACAAGTTACTCTCTAACGAGTGATTAAATTGATTAAAGAATTGATGATCGCAGAGAATTGAACTATCTGGGGCTAATTAAGTTTTTTGTTTTAACAATCCGGGGCTAGTAGATATATCTCGTGTTTAATCTTTTCCTACTTTACTGATCTTAAATCCTACATGACGAAGAAATTCTAATAGTAGTACGTAAGCGGCTTTATATCGTGTTGGTGCGATGTTATTCATTCAATCAAGTGTGTCCTCGTTAGATAGTTGACTTTATCGTAATGAAGATTTTTGAACACGATTTTAGCGGTACGGACTTGATTACGCTTTCAAAATTATCGAGAGGCCCGGTGGAATCCGACCTTAGAAGATGTAATATAGTGTCAATTGTCAAGTACAAAGAACCATTACAATTGTTATACTAGCATTGGAATTTATGATTAATATGCTGATACGTTATTCTTGTTCCTGCAGTTGCAAAATCTTTAATGAATTAGCTGAAGAGGACTACGTATACCGACAAATGTCACTCGACAAAATTTCAAGAATACTATGGTGGCATCCCGAAGAAGGCAATGCCTTCATTCAGAGGTGCATCAAATGCGATAATTTGGAGGCTCTGTACACGCAAGGACTAGTACGTGTTTAATTAATTACATAATTTATCTCTCTAATTTATTCACTATTATTTTCGTTCATCGCTAGAAATTGACCATATGCAATTTTGTGAATGTCGCAGTATGAGTGCGTAAGCCTCATGAAGCTTGAGCTGGGAATGGAGTTATTGAAGAGGGCGGCACATATTGGGCACGTCGGAGCCTCCTACGTCCTGGGGCTCCTCCTCGTCTGCGAGGGTGGCGAGTTAAAGAAGGACGGAGTCCGGCTGTTGAGAAAAGTGTACGCGAGCGGGCGAGTGGTGGAATCCCGCAAGAAGTACCTCGACGTCGTCCGCAACATGTGGTGGAACAACGTGGCGATCTTCAGAGGAGAGCCTCCCCGTTACGACTGCCGGATGCAGAGCGAGCACTGCAAGAGGAGAGGATGGGCACGCGACATCGACCATTATGACGACACCGAATGCGAACAGTGCATTTGCCGATCGGAGATCGAGATCCTCTACAAGTACGGCAAGCGCTCGTGATCACGAGAGGTTTTCCTCTGTCAATGCGAGATCGATAAATCAAGATCCTCCGTTCTCAGGACGAAATTTACTGGACCTGTCGTCTCGTTGCCACTTGAATCAAGAAACGTTGAAGGGTTATAGTACTAGCAGTCAATGCGACGGGAGGAAACTTTCAAAGTTTAGTTGCAGCCAAACAGGAAGAGCGGAAGTAGATCTGCTAGGGAACTTGTCGCTTAAGCCTTCGCTCTCTTCCGTTTGGGGGAGTAGTTTTGGTTAATGTGTTCGAATGATTGAATTCCTCTTTACTGGTTTGTGTCAAGATAACCATCTGGAATGGAAACTCGGTCTTTACGGAAACTTAGAAACGTTGCGGCGGCGCGGAGTTGCCTACATAAGCTTTGTTATGCAAAGCATGTGCAACAGCTCCTCCCACCTGCATCAAAAATGTGTTGCGCAATCTCTCACGTTAATCATGCACCTATATTGACCCCAGCGCAATGGTGGTAAGCTGCATTCCCTCGTTTACAACCATGACCAAGAGACAGTCCAAAAACACACCAGGCTACAGCTTTCGGCTAACTGGCAAAAAAACACAGCTATACAAGCATCTTCAGATTTTCTTAGAAAGAAGGAACGTGCTCCAAATCGCGATTAGTATCTAGATAAATAAGTCTCGGAGCGAGAAACATGAGACAAAAGCTCTGGATAACATGCTCTACGAGAGGACAAATTAAATCAGTTCGTTCGAGCCGTTGCATAGATAGTTGATAAATCTGTCAACAGCCATGAATTCAGCCTTTGATGGCTGTAAAGGGAGCACGGGTTCTTTGACCAGTAAATGGGAGAAAAAGCACTGAAGAAAACAGCAAAAACCCCATAGAAACATGATTTTCGATTCTAATCTGAACTAGGCGATCAATTGCAAAAATATTCGATTGTGACAAGCTACAAAACTCCCGTCAAGTTTTACACAGCAAACTGCGATTTTTGGCTTGTGTTCTTATTATAAATGATTTTACAGAAGCAGTATGCACCTGCACACTCATTTCGACTTCTTCCCTGCCTTCTTCTTGATAACTTCATCGATGTACATTATACCTTTGCCCTTGTAAACTTCAGGAGGCTTGCAACTACGAACAGCAGCCGCGAATTGATGCACCCTTTGCTTATCGATCCCTGTACAGCAGACCACGTTGTTTTTAAAGCAAAAGACACGCACTGCGGGAGGAACGGTCAACTCTACCTCGTGACTGTAACCTAATTTTAGGTACAAGAGGCGCCCCTCAGCCTCCGCTCTAGCTTTGAACCCAACACCTACTATCTTGAGAAAGCGAAAGAATTTGGCCTCCATTGCCATCAAAGAAAACCAGATTGCCTCAATTTCCCCTGAGATCAGACAACCAGAATGAGCACATCCTCGAATCATTTTTTTCCAACAAGTCAATCAATGAGAAGCAACAACAACATCCCAAAACTGATAACCATAGCAAGACGAACTAGAACCATAGGCGCAGAAATCTATAGGACCCAAGTATTGCTACAGACTACAGAGCACTCTGTCCCTTGACACCATTTCTTCTCTATATCCACATCACACATTCCTCTACTGTCCGATTTCTTTTAAGCCACAGTGGCCCTCTTCCAACTGAATTTTTCATAGTGGAAAAGCAAGAACACTATCATCCAGTCTTAGTAGAGGAGTGGTGCGGTAAGAGATTTTTCCGTGGGCAAAACACAATTTATTCATGACGCTGAGCTTTCGCCGGCCAAATCAAGAAGTTATAGGGTCATCAGACCTTCCTTTCCCTTCGCGGCCGCCCATTGTCGTTCTACACATACTCCGATGTTTTTGCTGGAATTAGATCATCCCTTAGGCCATAAATCTCAGATTGGATTGCAGAAAAAATCAAGCAACCCACTCATAGACAGCAGAACAGAACCTTCGACATGGAAATAGACCACCCCGGGCATCAAAGAGAAAGAACAGACCAAGAGAACAAGATAAAGCTAATCGCAGTCGCTCTTCTGCTACGCGCGACCGAAAAATTGGAAAAAAAATTCAGGCAACAGCACACTCAATTCACAAACCCCTGTCTGGCTGCACCCGACGCGCTAAGCACAGGAGTGGTCAGAACACACGAGATCAAAGCATCTCCAACAAACCCCAGAACTCAAGATCCAATTTTGAGGAAAACCCAGCAGCAGCGAACGGAATGAGCACGGCTCGAGACCCCCAACGGAAAGCTTGGAGAAAAGAGAACGAAAAGAAAGCAACAAGATTTCGCCGGGACCGTACCTCTGAATTGCAGACGCAGGAGAGCTTGCAGAGAGCCGGAAAACGCGGGTCAGTGGCGAAATCTCATGCGGGAGGGACTGGACGTCGCCGGCTGAGAAGACAATGTACAGAGATTTGCTGCAGAGGAAGGAGGAGGAGGAGGAGGAGGACGAACTGGGGGGTGGTGGCAGTGGGATTCGAAACCCTAACAGTAACGCCCTCTGCGGCTGAAATTCTTTTTTTTTATTTTCTGGCAAAAACCAGAAATTATTTGCTTCTTTTTTTTTAAGAGCAAAAATGGTTTAAATAATTAAAAGCGGAGATTCGACCCAAAAACAAATAAAATTAGAAGCGGAGTTTGCCATGTCTACTTGTTAGCTATACCTCTTCAATTTATTGCTCTAGGTATTGCGTTTCACACGTACAATATATATTTAAAATAAATCTCAACTAAATGAAAGAAACAAACGAAACACATTTTAGATTAATACTTAAAACATTTTTTTTTTGGGTAAAAATTACTTCGGCGTTAACAAGTGCGATGAATGAATACACAAGACATTATTCATCTCTCGTACATGTTTAAAGGAGGATGAGATAAAAAGGCAGACAATTAAAGGAAAGGATCGCGATCCTCGTAAACTTCGGCGCAATGCATATTAAATATGAGATAAATCCGCATGGATAATCTTATAAACTCGTTACTCACGAGGCGAGTTTTGAATTACAAATACCGAACTTGAAGATTATTTTCCTTCCGAGTAATTTTAAAGATAGCTTGAAGGAATCTTGATAGTTTTAGTTTCAAAAGAAGAATGAAAATACGAGTTCTTTGGATAAAATCCGCATCGTTCCCGTCGTCCATGTACCATCGAATCGGGTATTACATGTTCTAAGGGATTGTAGGATGGCTAGAAATATGGTCCGCTCTTGTTCCTGATGATTTCAAAGCTAAAATTCTTATGTTCGAACTTGCAATTTTAGTTCAAACTCGACCTCAAATGCGGGGTAGCACGCCTCCATCATGTTGGGATCGCACAAAAACAAAATCCCAATACCTTTACATAGAGAGATCGTCAAGAGGAAGCTTGAATGTGAGCTCATCAACATATTCAGTCGGACCCACCTTTACTCGAAAATTTGAACTAATAAGTTAATGGATCAACTAGGACATACGAGGCATTCCACACCACAGCTCACGAGGCATCTCCATGAATCGTCATGGATGGCAACCTCCATTTTCGACCATATGGCACAAAGTGAAGGAAAACCATCTGCGCCCCCTCTCTCGCCGAAAATGGTTACGGGGAAAGCTAAGGGCTCGTTTCATTGTCACCCGGGCATCGAATCGGTCTCGTAAAGCTTAGGGGATAGCCGAGCAAAGTGGCGGCGGCCGGTCGATAAAAACGGCTTCTTAAAGCTCGGAAAAACTAACTAGAACCAAAGATACCAGGGGGTCTCGGCCGAGGCCCGCCGGAGATCATTCCTCCTAACAACTCCTCCGGAAGTAGAAATTAATTAGTACACTACTTCTACGCTCACAAAACTCGCGAGTAACGCGTGGCAACAACTTGGGAAGTTCTTCTAAAAGAATTTTTGTAATGATGCATTCATAAAAGAAGGCAAGTTGTTAAAAGAAAATGAAAAAACTTTGGGGAAGGGAAGTGCTACTTTGGACCTTTGGAGAAACCCTAGCATTGATTTGCTCTAGCAACTTGCCCAACGTTCCACCTTCCGCGCCGCCGGCACCGATGAACAGCGGCGAAGTGGCTAATCACGGCGACGGCGACGGCGACGACGACATTGTCGACCCCCTCCTCGCGATCCTCTTACCTCGACAGGACGACGGCGGCGGCGGCGAAGAAGAGGAGGAGGAAGAAGACGGTCCCGCGGAAACCGACCAGCTGGAGCACCACCGCCTCCGGTCAGTCAACGCCACCATCGCCATCCGCCAGCTTCCTTCCCGGGGCCTCTCCTTCCAGCTCTGGCCGGCCGCCACCGCCCTCCTGAAGCTCCTCGACGCCCACGTCTCCGACCCCGCCGCGGGCCCCCTCTCCCCGATCCTCGCCGACCCCCGCCGCCGCCCCCGCCCCTGCAAGCGGCGGCTCAGCGTCCTCGAGCTCGGCTCCGGGACCGGCCTCGTCGGGATCGCCGCCGCGGTCGCGCTCGGCGCCGACGTCACCGTCACCGACCTCCCGCACGTGGTCCCGAACCTCCAGTTCAGCGTCGACGCGAACGCGGCGGCCCTGGCGGCGGGCGCCGGCGGCGGAGGAGGGGGAGGAGGGGCGGTCCGCGTGGCGCCGCTCAGGTGGGGGGAGGCGGAGGACGTCGGGGCTCTGGGGGAGGAGTACGACGTGATCCTGGCGTCGGACGTGGTGTACTACGATCACCTGTACGACCCGCTGCTGGAGACGCTGCGGTGGCTGTTCGAAAGGAGCGAGAGGAGGGAGGAGATGGTGTTCGTGATGGCTCACCTGAGGAGGTGGAAGAAGGACTCGGCCTTCTTCCGGAAGGCGAGGAAGGCGTTCGACGTGGAGGCCATTCACGCGGACGAGCCGCGCGACGGGTCGAGGGTCGGGGTCGCCGTCTACCGTTTCGATTGGAAGAGGAAAAGGACCGCGAAACGCGCGGCTCCGTCGGACACCGTCTCAGCTGATCTAACCGCGCATTCGATATGAGATTTTGATTGTTCGAATTGAGAGTTCGACGCTAGAAGAGTGCGTTGCAAGAGAAATGCCATTGGCTTTCACCGTTACTTTCTTCTAGGCATTGCTCGACCTCACATTTTCGATTTTACATTGATGAAGGCGTGATCGCAGCCGTGATCGGTTTTCGATCGGGCATTGCGATTGATCGGTTTCGTGACGTTAGAACATTGAGCCGCGCCCTCCCCGCCGACAGAATTACTTAGACTGAAATTAATCACATTTGTATCCTTCAAGAGAACTCAATAGATATTATATATATCATGAACATATGTTCATTGTTCATGATGACATTTCTTTACTTACAAGTAAAGCTCCAATCAAAGCATGAAACCTCAAACCCTTCAAAAAATTCCACACCTACATAGGCACAAAGGGAATGATACAATGACAAAAACACCCACCAGCAAAGAGGGGGCAAAGAGGAAAAGAGACGTCACAAGCAAATAATATACAATCCCATCTACACAAAGGTCCCTTTAGGACAGAAATCGTCGGGGCACCATCTCATTGCCGCTCTTTTCCGTCTTGCGATTCTCTGCAGCAAAACCGATGCCCAATACATGAAGGTAACACTCGTTTGCCAGTGGAGCGGAGTCGCAACATAACCCTCAGCGATTCAGTTGCCTGACAACAACGGAACTGCCGACATTGTGTGCGGAACAAGAAAGTTACCGCTTCCTGAAGGGTGAGCCCTTAGCTACAGCTTTCATGTTCTGAGAGTCCCTAAAGCAAACGAAATGGACGAGGGTCTTTCCATTTGGGTACACTGCAAATACGCTCGTTCCTATCTTTTTGTTGCAAAGAGAGCACATACTTTCACCGGTTATCTTCACGACCGCTTTCCTTTGGGTATAAAGTTCGTCTTTCACCTGTTTCCATAAGCAAGTTTATCACAACCCAAAGGGACATGGTGAATTGAGCAAGTACTTTATCATATTCCTTTCAAACATATTAGCAGAGATGTGCTAATGAAGAAAAATAGAATCCATGTAAGATTGTGAAGGAGGACCTTTTTCACAGAGAAGAACCATAGTTTACTCCTAAATGTACCTGAAGGTTTTCACTCTGCCTCAAACTCTTGATCACCGAGTAGTTCCTGTATGCTTCACTGGACTTCCTAACAAGGGGACCGAGAAACGGAAGCAAATTCTGCACAAAGATGAATACATCTGCTATGAGAGCTCGATGTAAATATAATGGCGACCCAGAGAAACGTATCAGAAATATTCAAGCATAAAAACTACTGATGTCTGATTCCTGCTTCAGCTAACTATATACCTGCAGCTTAGTTTCTCTTGGTAAGAGTCTAAGGGCCTGTGCTCCATTGATTCTATCCCACCTTTGGCTCAACAGATCGAGGACCTCATCAAGCATTATAGTGGAAGCTCCTTCTTCACTAGACTCATCTGCATCACCATCATCACTCCTGCCACTGTCAGTATTGCTGGGACTTACTCTCATATCTTCCGCACCCTCTATTGCAGCAATTTTCTTAGAGGAACGACCTCCCCTTGACCTAACATAAGGCGTAGAACTAAGCTTCAGAACGCTGGTGCCTTGAGATGATACTAAATTGTTGATTCGCTTTTCGAAATTTCTTGTTGTTCTTTGAGGATTGAGGTATATTTGCAGAAGGGTAAGATATATATTGCCCGGAGATTTTGCAGATGGCTGATGAACCATACTTTCGTATACACGGTCGCAATAAGACAGTGCCAGATCAGCCACATGAAGCTATGAAAAGGGCAGAGAAATAATTAGCACTTCAAATATCTACAGGTTATGAAATGATTAAACAAAGAACATGACATTCATGAAACTTCTGGAGAGCTAGCGCCACCGGCTACTAACTTTAGCATTGCAGCCAACCAGTAGGCCATAGCATTAGGATGAGAAAAACCAACTATGGGAGATGACAGGTGGAAACAATGAGAACAGCAACAAGACCAAAAATGAAGGCCTCTAAACGATCAGAAAGGTGGGCCATGATTTTGGTCTGGAAACGGGTATAGCAATCCCAGTAACACCAACTGACACCAATTTAAGTTCAGCCTCAGCCTTGATCTTGGCTGAACACTGTTTTTCTCAACCATATTTTTTCTAGAAATTCGTGTGCAGTTAACTTCAAATAACACCCAACCCATGAGTTAGTTGCAATGTCATCCAAATTTCCAAGAAATGCCCTCCCACACAACACCAAAAATGAAGTTTGTCGTCTGTCAAAAGTCAATGAGATTCAGTTACATTTTATGGCAGAGAATTGTCATGAAGAACAAAACATATCGTTGAAGTTTGTTAAAACAAATATTATGAGTCGCCTATCTTTTTTTGCCCAAAAGAGTTATCTAATCTTGCATCAACCATCAATATATTACCTTGCTCTCACTGTTATGCCAATTCAACTACGTTTTCAGTGCTTTCACTCCTCCACGGTAGCATCTCCTTCTATAAGTAGAGAAACTTTTGGAGAACTCAGACAGGTTCATCTGTAACTTAATATTGATACAAGTGAATGCCAAAAAACCCAGCTTAAATAAAGTTATGAGTCTTGGGGCCTCGTACATACTCTCAAGTTAATGCCCTCCTGGATAAATTCCCTTGAGAAACTGTGTGCAGGTAACCAAAGATGTTGATATCGATGAGAAAACTAAGATTGGAGTCAATTTGGAACGATAAAAATGGCGTTGGTTTGATTGCAGAACTTGAGAAGATGAGGACAAATTACATCTTCAAGCAAATCTGCAGGTTCCATGATTGTGAATGAAGTGCAAATGCTAATTCTTAGTTGACGAAAGCAACTACATAACTCGTGATATATTAATTCACAATCAAGTCAATTTACGTGGCACCTTTGTAATTCACTCGATAACAACGTAAGAGGTTAAAAATACAATTTCCCTTGTAAAAAGTACCTTATGAACATAGAGAGACAAGGCGAGCTCATGTTGGTTCATTTTCCCCAATAAAATCGCGCGCTCTTCATACAAGGCATCTGTTGGAAGACGTTTCAACAGAGCCTCTGGACTGTAACCGGAGATACTTTCCAATGCAGACAACAACTTCTTCCTTGTTGGAGTATAGACTTTCTCATCCCATTTCTGTTGAGCACTAAGATCTCCATACCATTCAAGGACCTCACCCAGATAGATTTGCACCTGCATCAATTCAAAGAGACGTATTAGTTAAGGTAGGTTAGAATGCAAACCACTATTCTAAAATATTTACTGATTGGTAACAGGTGCTGAAAATAAAAACTGCAGAAGTCTTCATTTTCTCAAATAGAAACAGTATGACTCCAAGGAAAAAAGTACCATGTTAACATAACAACTACTGTGTCATAAAAATGCTGGTAACGGTATCTAAAGCATAATTATAGTTTACCCGCAATAATAAAAAAATGCAAAAGTTTTCACCATTTCGTTTTGCAAATTTCCTGAGATTCCATTCTCATTCATGGCAAGCATAAGTTCCAAGTATGTGGCCTGCATGTTTGGTGCATGCTGCTTCAGATAAGAGTTGACCAAATCTGCCGGAATTTTCCCAGACAAAAAAAGCTCAATAGTTTGTGTCGGACAGCTTTCAAGAACAAGCATTGCAAACTCCAAGACAAGCATAGGGTCAGTTCCACAGAGAGGCTGCACAAGATAACCAATCGATGGTCAAACTTAAAAGATTATAACCCTCATTGTTATGGTAGAGATCACAGCTTGTGGTGATCACAGCTAACTCGCCAAAGACCTCAAGTACACTGAATGCCACAACCATATCATGAGCACCAAATAACGTACCTTGAGATATTCAATTATCATCTCTGGCTTGAACGTTTGAGTCAGAACAGCTTTTGATTCATTTGATTTTGACTCCTCCACTAAGTGATGGAGAAGCTTTAGAGCTTCACGATGCATTGAATTGCTTTTGTAAAGCTCTAGCAAAGCCGTATAATGACTACTGTTCTGAAGAATCTCCTCACATATTTTCATATCACAATAGTTAAGGCTTTTCAGTAATTCAACAGCAGCGGAAGACTGTCCAGTGAGAAGCAAAGCTTGGAGTAGTGCTGTGTCCAATATAGTTGCCATGTCCCTTGCAACTGAACTAATGGCGATGGTGGCACGTCCCTGAGGAACAAAAGCAAAACTAGACATGAAACCATAATGACACAATATCTATTGACACAAGAGAAGACAGCCTAAATTCAATTAGTTTGTCATGTCCCCATGGAAAATCATCCATGTCATCGCTTGTATATTGCAATGTGTCTGGTCAAGTACATTGATGTTGACACATGAGCAAGAATGTCTGAACTGTAAACTCTCAGTAATTGCATTTTGACATGCATTGAATTACACTGCATGACAGTAGATACCCAGTGCACCTTAAATAATTAAACCGACATATCCAACATGACAAATTATGGACCCAACAAAAGCACTATTAGCACAGAAAGAGTTCGGAAGCATGCAGGCAGTAATATTAGTACGCTCAACTTCAAGCATCTATGCATTAGATTGGATTGCACTAGATCAACTAGAAAATAATGCGAAAGAGTAGAATGACGGAATTTATCAAAACAAATTGTCACTAGTAGCATAACATGGTCAATCATTGCGAATATCAGATCTTTCAGCCAGTTTGTTTCTACAGCTACCTGATTTGAAGAAAAGTATACATTGGACAATGAAGGTTACTTGTAACCAGAACCTCAGTTCTAGAGGAACATAATTTCTTTTAATTTGTTATATCTGGCAAGTAAGAATTGAACAGCGTGCTATGAGATGCCCTTGCTTACAATAACCCTAAACACGAGTAATCCCAGTTTCCCTCCTTTATGGGTTCAACAAATGTACCAATTTTCAAATATATCTTAAAGCATAATTTAGGCATAGAGTTAGCATCAAATTAAATTCATTTGACCATAGTCATGGCTGACATGAAATTTAGCTAATCCATGTACATCAGATTTTCGCCAATATATGAGGACTTTCAGGTAACGCAAATACCTTGTTAGTCCTTTTGAACCGATTGATATCATATGAGGGGATACTATCACCAACAGCATCTAAAACCACCTCTTCTGTGCCCTCAGTTGTGGCCTTCTCTATTATACTGTGTCTCTTCTTCTGCAAAAATTTGATTAGAGCCATGAGAGTATTATGGCTCATTTTTTTGGACTCAAGTGCTGAATGCTCATCGAAATCCGGTGAATGTGGCGGGGGTGACGATTCCATATCATCTGACACACCAGAGGAACCTCTAGATAGGTATGAAGTGTCCCAAGAAATGTCCACCAATTTCTCC